TGCTCTAGGACGGGGAAGTGTCACATGATCATATCCAAAAAAAATGGATTTTTACTACCAATCTTATGATTTTGTTTGAAAATATAGTCGTCATGCATAGTTAATCTTTCTCAAAAGATTTAGATCGATTCTTGTAGGTTTATTACTATCTTTATTATGATGAAAATATGGTCGTCATGTATAGTTAATGTCTTTCAAAAGGTTAGATCTTTTTTTTGTAGGTTTCACACTATCCTTTATAATCTGTTTAGAAAAATGGTTATCCTCCATGGATCCTGAAGGATTCTGTGTCAAATGGAAGAGGATCATAAGGTCAATTAATTTCAGAATATTTGTTTATTTTTATTTTCTTGTTTTGTTTTTCAATGACTTCTCCAGTTAAAACATACTTTATTTCTCCTAGTTCTACTTTAAACAACAAACTTTTAAATGATCTTCAAACTAGAATTAATCAAATTGAACAATCAATTCTTAATCAAAGAAAACTAAAAAACAAACCTTCTGATTTCCAGATTGATAAAGAAAAACTTAGATCTGAATTCTTTGCAAACCACAACTATTTCAAAAGAAAACAATTTTTTTGAGAAATATCAGGGAGAAGCCCAAAAAAATATACAAGAAAATTTTTATGACTTTTTAATAAAAACAAAGCAAAACATTCATTTCTTTGACTGGTATGAGTCTCAAACATCTAAGAAGACTTCACCAGAACTCAAAAGTTCAGTCCAAAATATTTCAAAACCTGCAGCTTCTATAACCCAGGATTCCACTTTAGAACCCGTGGATCCAATTCAAACTAAACCAAAAGTCATAAATCTATCTCAAACAGATTCTACACAAGAAACTTTAGAATTATCCATAGATCTGCCCCAAACAACCCAGACACTACAATCCTCTCATAAACCCTCAGAATCCATAGATCCATTAAAATCAAACTATATAAACTCAGTTGATATACATCTATCAGATTCTCCCATGGATCTATCAAACCCAATAGATTTACCAAACCAAGAGTTTATTAAACTTCCAAAACTTTTAATTTTTGGTCAATCATTAAATAATACTACTAGTCTTGATATTAGAAAAGACATAGGAAATTCCTTAGACATAGTATATTTCACGATAAATGTCTTAACTAAAATTCAACCTAGTACCAAACCTATCACTATTAAAGATCTTCAAACAAAAATTGCTATTCTCAATAAGGAAATTAAAACAATTGAAAAAATAGCCACTGAAGAAGAAATCATTAATAAACCTTCTCAGTCAAACATAATATTCTACAAAAATATTTTGTTCTTATAAAACTAGTTATCAATGATAATTATATTGCAGAAACAGAAGCTTTATTTGACACAGGAGCTGATCTCAGCTGTATTCAAGAAGGTCTTATCCCGACAAGATTTTTTGAAAAAACAAAAGAAAGCCTCCGAGGAGCCAATGGTTCCCAACTAAACATTCAATTCAAACTCTCAAATATCCAAGTTCAATTCTCTTCTGTATCCATTAAACAAACATTCCTTTTGGCAAAAGACCTAACCAACAATGTTATTCTTGGAATCACTTTTGTTACCAAACTTATCCCTTATCTAACCACTAATAAAGGGATCATACCCAAAAAAAATGGGCAAGATGCTCTTTTATCTTTTTTCAGAAAAACAATCCAAAAAACACTAAACTATCTATCCCTAAAAAACAGTCAAATCAATTTCTTAAAAGAAGAAATTGTTGTCTACGAAAGGATTGATGAGCAGCTTAAGAGACCAAAAAGACAACAAAGAATCCAGAATCTGCAAATAAGAATCCAAGAAATGGTTTGTGCAGAAGTTCCAAATGCATTCTGGACAAGGAAACAGCATACTGTTCATCTTCCTTATGAACCTGACTTTGAGAAGAAAGATATTCCAATAAAAGCCAGACCTATACAGATGAATCAGCAATTACTACAACATTGCCAGAAGGAGATTAATGATCTCCTATTAAAAGACATTATTAGCCCTAGCCAATCTCCATGGAGCTATCCAACATTCTATGCCAACAAACCATCAGAGATTGAAAGAGGAGTTTCAAGGCTTGTAATCAATTACAAAACTTTGAATAAAGCTCTTCGATGGATCAGATATCCTATACCAAACAAGAAAGATTTACTTCAAAGGCTTTACTTTGCCAAGATATTCTCAAAATTCGATATGAAGTCAGGATTTTGGCAAATCTAGATTCATATCTCAGACAGATACAAAACAGCATTCACAGTACCATTTGAACATTATGAATGGAACGTAATGCCATTTGGACTTAAAAATGCTCCTTCTGAATTCCAAAGCATTATGAACGAGATATTCAGTCCTTATTCCTCATTAATCATTGTTTATATTGATGATGTTCTGATTTTCTCAGAAAATATTGAACAACACTTCAAACACTTAAATACCCTTTTTCATATTACCCAAAAAAATGGCCTTGTGGTCTCTCAAAAGAAAATCAGCCTTTTCCAGACTAAAATCAGGTTCCTTGGACACCATATCCACCAAGGAACTATTACTCCGATCAATAGGTCAAATACAATTTGCTGATAAGTTTCCTGATCAAATTCTTGACAAACAACAACTCCAAAGATTCTTGGATTGCTTGAACTATGTCTCAGATTTCATTCCAAATCTTAGCAATATAGCAAAACCCTTGTATGATAGACTAAAAACTACTCCACCGTTATGGACAGATATCCATACAGAAACAGTGAGAAAAATTAAAACCCAAGTCAAGGCTATTCCTTGTCTAACTCTTCCAGATCCAACAATTCCAAAAATTGTTGAAACGGATGCCTCCGATTTAGGATATGGTGGTATTCTTAAACAAACAAAAAATAATAAAGAACAAATAATTGCTTTTGCTTCAAAATATTGAAACAATTCTCAACAAAACTATTCTACTATTAAAAAAGAAATTTTGACAATAGTCTCATGTATTACAAAATTCCAAGTTGAACTACTAAAGCAGAAGTTTTTACTTCGAGTTGATTGTAAGTCAGCTAAAGATGTTTTACAAAAAGATGTTAAAAATCTTACCTCTAAACAAATCTTTGCAAGATGGCAAGCAATTTTATCAATTTTTGATTTTGACATTGAATACATTAAAGAATCTTCAACTCTATTCCTGATTATTTAACTCGTGAATTCTTGCAGGAAGATAAGATGCCCAAAAAAACGAAACAATAGAGGAAGTTCCCAGATGAACCAAATCCCTCTTCTCAAACAATCAAACAAGACTCTTCGAGTTCTTCCGATTCATCCCAAACAGAAAAAAGATTATCTCCTTCAAACCTAACTCCAAACAGATTTCAGATTCTCTCTGCTCCACAACCCATATCCACAGCCTCTCCTAAAACATGGGCTGATATAGCCGAAGAAGAAGATGAAAAACAGTTATACTTTGAGCGCCTCAAACAATGGACTGAATCACAAGGATACCAGTCTAAATCACTAGGGTATCCTATTTGGGGCACACCAGATCATCTCAAAACAGTCATAACCCAAAATATCAAACTTAAATCTCATGTTATTCGGGAACTAAAACCAAAATCACTCACTATTCAAGGACCCAAAACCCTAGCTAATCTTGAACCAAAGCCAAACAAAACTTCGTGCCCCTATATAAAGTCACGTACCCATCTTCCTGTGGTCCAAATCGAACTTGATTATTGGCATGACGACCCAAACCTATAGGCCCAAACTATTCTGCCAGAAACTTACAACTTTATACCCCAAACTCTCACCAAAACACTTGAGTATTACAAACTCATTCTTACGGATTCAAAATATCTAATTCTTAAACCCCATGATACAGAATTGAGAGACAAATATGGGAATCCCACTGGAAAATACATCAATACTCATTCCAGTGCCCAAATTCTAAAGGTTACTAAGCCGTCAGAATGGAGTACAAACCTAAGTAAACCCAAGCCCTTCAATACTTCCTTCAATCCTCCAGGATATACTTATTGGGATTATAAGGCAGCCTGGTTCTATACCTTCACCTTCCAAAATGAATTAAACCAACATTCTTATCTTTTCTATTTCTTGAAAACAAACAAATATGATTTTCTGGCATGATTTGTAGCATGGTTGAAAGCACTTGGACCCAATCTGGACATCCTTCCTCCAGATATCAAACAAAGCTACAAATATTTGAACAAAGATTTGAACTCCCAAACAACTATATCCCAATCAGTTTGCACTTCTTTTTCATATTCTCGGTGGCATGGGTCTACTAGTGAAAATATGAATACATTCAGCAAACACAACTTCCACTATTATTAGTTCGACAAGGGTATTCAAAATGGTGGTCAACATTCAATAAAAATTTCATTCAGCCAACAAACATTCATGCATGGTTTCAGAAGAATTCTCGCTCAATAAAACCTGGGGACAATCAAACAAGCCAATTTTTGCAACAAAAGTTTATCTCAGCAGCTAAATTGGCATCAATCACTGACAAACAAGAATATATCAAACAACTCAAGGATATACTTTTATAGTTGGATCAATCAAAGGAAACCTCAAAGAAGGAGAAGGCCTCCAGCTCTGGGACAAAACTCGATGAGTATGAAGGCCCAGAAAATGAAGATGATTGTTATGGAATTTTCTCATAAATTTCATAAAAATCAAACATCACTGTAGCACTGGAAGCATTGTAGCAATCCGGCAAGTTACTGTACAAACACGGCAACAAAAGACAAACAAAACACTGTAGCGCATACTATAGCGATACTGTAGCAAAATCATTGTAGCGGGTACTGTAGCACTACGAAAAATTTTGCTATAAATACCCCTCAAACCCAACACCATTCACACACCATTTCTTCAAGATAACTTCTCTCTCTAGCTTGAAGAAACCCTTCTCCCTCTCTTTACAAACAAGTTCTTAGTTTTTATATTTTAGTTTTTAGATCAAACAAAGGAGCAAGCCTTGTGCAAGTTTCATATCTTGTAAGTTCTCTTTTCTTTTCTTTTGTATTCTTATATTCAATATCATTCAATCAAATGGTTGGCTGAGCCACCTACATTCATATTCATTTACTTGTTTTTATTTGTTTTAATTATACTAACAATCAATGGTCGGTTATACCACCTGAACTAACTTATTAACTTTTATATTCTATTATTTACTTTGTCTATACATGGCTGGTTCAACCGCCTATACTAACTAGTGGTAGTCTGACTGCGACTCATTTCCTTACTCTTATGCTTTTTATTTCTTTAATTTTCTTTACTTTCCTGGTTTAAGTACCCGCTACAGTGATTTTACTATTGCTATAGTGCCGCTACAGTACGCGCTACAATGCATTGTTTGTCTTTTTGTTGCCGTGCATGCACAATAACCTACCGGACAGCTACAGTACTTCCGGTGCTACAGTAAAACGATTTTTTCTGAATTTTGTTTCGATTGAGCCAACTTGAATATTTCTGGAAACATTTGTTCAGCAAATCATTACTGATAATTCTTCTGATGCTTCTTTGATCCATTGTTTGTAATATCGTGCATTGATCCCTTGTTTTTCAAGTAGATATTTGTTGAGAATCATCCTTTGAATGTTTCTTCTTTATATGAAGCATTGTTCTTTTAATGTTTGTATTGAATAGTTTGAGTTTACTAATTCGATGTGATTATACCTGTGGATGTTGTAGCAAGGGATTCTTTCACCAGTATCCCTGTTGAAGTATATGATATCAAAGTTTCTGATTCTAGATTCTTTTCTCTCATTTTCGAGATAATGATATTCCATCCAGAGATGTGAGAATGCATCCTCCTTGAGTTTGATCTGGAAAGGTTGAGTTGGATCTCTAGGAATTAGAAATGGATTTTCTTTTTCTTCAATTTCCTGAATCTAGTTTATTGTTGAAGTCTCATCAATTGCTTGGAATTGATTTGAGATTATTTCATTGGGTATCCAATTTGAAGTAAATTCTGCAGGTATCCAGTTTGAAGATGATTCCTCAGGGATTCACTCCCAATTAGCTTGATTCTGATTGGATGATGTTTGGCACTCATTAGTTTGACTGTCAGATATTTCTCCGTGAGAGGTTTGTTGCCAAGTAGAGTATCCATTGAAGAGACAGTTTTTCTCTTCTGAATTATATGATGATGAACTTCCTTCACCTGCCAAGTTTCTACACAAAGAATTAGTTAGTTTAAAAAATTGGGATATTATCCCTTGGAAAGGAGTCAATTGGTTGAGAAATGATGTTCCTAAAATAATATGGTTAGTCAAATACTTGGTCAAAAAGAAGGTATTTGAGAATTGGTTTTGTATATTTGAAAGTTTGAATTCAATATCAAGTATAGGATTATTGGTTATTCTGAGGAATTCTAAAAGTTGGATTGGAATAAGGTTTTCAGGAATATAGTTTTGGTCTGATCCTGTATCAACTAGGACTTTTGTTTTGATTACATAATTATCAATAATTAGTAATCGTATATGGATCAAGTCTTCCTCAAATAACTGAGAATTGTTATTCAGGTTCCTAGGGTTAAAGGTTTCTTTCTATAAGGACATAGGTTGAATAAGGAATCTGTCAAGAATTTCCGGGAAACCATAAGTTTTTGGTTTACAAGAATTTTGTCTAGGGATTTTTTCTAGAATGTCAAAGAAAAGACCCTCTAAAGGATTCGAAATTTGGTTCAAGTATGGTTGTCTTATTTCAAGAATATCTTTAATGATGCTGAAAAGAAAGTTTTGATTTTTGGTCATCTTATTGACCACATGTCCTTTTTCATCTTCATCACTAGTGTTTGGGAAAGAAGATGTTGAAATATATTTGTCTTAATCTTCCTTTCGCTCATATTGGATAATATCTGATTCGATTAGAGGATTCGTCAGTTGGGTTATATGTCTAGGTTGATGGGTTTTGGAAATGAATAAGGCTGGTTGTTTTGTAGAAAAGAAAGGGTTTTCAAGTCTTTCTATAAATTTGAGCTGTTTGTTGGGCCTTGTATGGTAGCTCAATGGCCCAAACTGTTTGTAAAAGGATTCAAGACTTTTTCTTTGGAACTGATCTTCTGTTGATTTGGGAAACCAGCTTACTTGTTGGTTTTGTCCACAAGTTATTTCTTCCAAGGCTTAATCTTCTTGTATTGGGATTCAAGAAGGCCTTTGAAGAAATCTTTGTTATGAACTTTGTCTCTGTCTGATTTCATCAGGAATATATATTGATATCTTCTGGACTTTGGGAACAACTTTGATGAATCTTCTTGGGCTGCTTCAGATGTGAATATAATATTGAATCTCATTGTTTCTAAGAGGATGTTCCTGTCTTGTATGTCAGATGCATCCTTCTTGATGGTAATAAGAATATTGTGAATAATATTCTTGTCCTCTATGGTGAGATATCTGATGAGATGTCCTTCTTCCCACCATTCCTTGAATTGCTTAATAAATCCTATCAATAGGATATGAGCAGTCAGTTGTTTGCAGTCATGTAATGTTTGATTAAACATAGTTGTGGTTGTCATTTATTGAGATGTCATCGGAAGATTGTATCTGAATATTCCATATATGCTCCATTCATAGATGTCTTCCTTATTGTATAAGTGTTGAAGGATATTGGGTTTTATTCTAAAAATATCAGAATGAATCATTTGAGAGTGGTATAGATTTTGGATGTTTTTCCGGTTGGGAGTATATATTTCTAAAAAAGAGTTGGAATATGATTTATTGAGAATAGAGGATCTTTGATTGTTTTGTATGGTATTGATCAAGGAAGTTCTTTAAATTTTGAATTCTTGTTTGGGTAAAGGAATTGGAAAGTTTTGTTCAATCCAAAATTTTTGGTCTTCTAAAGGTTTGAAAAGCAGGTTTGAGAAGTAGGTTTTTGGAAGAGGAGATTTTGGGATGAATTGGGTAAAAAGATTGAAAAGGTATTTTTCTGGATAGATTGTAAGAATCTTCTTGGCATGGGTATAGGCTGCTTCTTGGTTATTCCTGATCTCAATCTCATGAATGACCAATTTTGCCAGTGAAGGTTTAGCCTGAATTTCTTATTTGGCAACTGATTTTGCCGAGAAAGACTTTGTATTTTTTATTCATCTGATAGCTTGCTATTTATTTCTTGTTCGAATAGAAGGATGATCAACTCTATTCTTCCAAGAATATAAAGGCTGGATGTATTTCCTCTTGAATTTCTGGATTTTCTGACTCCATCTGCTGGGTCTGATGGATCTTGGAGTATCATTTCGAGATCTAGCCAAATTTGATAGATTTGATTTTTCAGATACTCCTTGTATTTGAGACTGTCCCTTTAATTTGTTGAAGATCCATGTCTTCTCTGTTTGTCCCTTGGATAACCATGTTTCTTCTATATAAGATTCCGCCTTGAGATTTCGGTACTCAATATTAAGTACCTCTAACTTAGCAAGCTGCAACTGTTTGTAAGTTATAAAAGAATACATAAATAATTTAGGAATTTCTTCCTGATTACTGTTTGCAGGAATTTCTTTTGAATTTTTCCGAGAAATATGTTCATTATTGGAAGGGATATTAAAATCACGGAATAAGTTTGAAATAAATATTTGTAAAGAATTTTGAATTACATCTTTAGTTGACTGGATTTCAACTAACTGATTTTTTTGTTTAAAAGAAATAATATTTGTTGGTGAATTTCTAATAACCATTGTTTTGGAAAAAGGTTGAGAGGGGATTTCAGCAGTTTCTTGTTTAATAATTGATTTGAAAGAATCAATTTTTGTTTGAATATTTTTATCAGTTATAGGTTTGATATTAGGTTGATTTTTATTTAAGACATTTATCGAGGAATAACCTATATATAAGGAATTTCCTATGTCTTTTCCAATATCAAGACTAGTAGAATTAACAGAATTATCAATTGATTGTCCGAAAATCAAAAGTTTTGAAGCTTCAATAAACCCTTGGTTTGATAAATCTATTGGGCTTGATAGATCTATGGGAGAATCTAGTAGATCTATATCAACTGGGTTTATATAATTTGATTTTAATGGATCTATGGATTCTGAGGGTTTTATGAGAGGTTTGTAGTGTCTGGATTGTTCGGAGCAGATCTATGGATAGATCTAAAGGTTCTTGTGTAGAATCTGTTTGAGATAGATTTAAGACTTTTGACTTAGTTTGAATTGGATCCACGGGTTCTAATGTGGAATCCTGGGTTATAGAAGATGCAGGTTTTGAAATATTTTGGGCTGGATTTTTGAGTTCTGGTGAAGTCCTCTTAGATGTTTGAGACTCATACCAGTCAAAGAAATGAATATTTTGCTTTGTTTTTCTTAAAAAGTCATAAAAGTTTTCTTGTATATTTTTTCGAGTTTCTCCCTGATATTTGTTAAAAAAATTGTTTTCTTTTGAAATAATTGTTGTTTGCAAAGAATTTAGATCTAAGTTTTTCTTTGTCATTCTGGAAATCAGAAGGTTTGTTTTCTAGTTTTCTTTAATTAAAAATTGATCGTTCAATCTGATTAATTCTAGTTTGAAGATCATTTAAAGGTTTGTTTTTTAAAGAACTAGGAGAAATAAAGTATGCTTTAACTGGAGAAGTCATTGAAAAATAAAACAAGAAAATAAAAATAAACAAATATTCTGAAATTAATTGATCTTATGATCCTCTTCCCTTTGGCACAGAATCCTTCAGGATCCATGGAGGATAACCATTTTTCTAAACAGATTATAAAGGATAGTGTGAAACCTACAAGAAAAGATTTCTTTTGAAAGACATTAACTATACATGACGACCATATTTCCATCATAATAAAGATAGTAATAAACCTACAAGAACATATCTAAATCTTTTGAGAAAGATTAACTATGCATGACGACTATATTTCCAAACAAAATCGTAAGTTTGATAGTAAAAACTCATTTTTCATGGATCTGATCTTGTAACACTTCCCCGTCCCAGAGTATCACACCCTAAGAACCTCAACGCCCCTACAGAGCCAAATCCCTCATGGTCTTTTACCTGGACCGGACGTTGGCACTTACTGGATCCATGTCATTCAATCAGATCCAAAGTCATGAAATCAAAACAATCAAAATTATAATAAACTCGAATACATTAGATAGTAATCACGAAATTAATCGGTCTAATCAATCATATCTAAACTTGTAGATCTACACTATCAGTAGCATAAATAAAGAAAGATGGTAATCACGAAATTAATAAATCTCATCAGGAAGATATAAACTTGTAGATCTATACTAACAACATCATAATAAGTAAAGAAAGATAGCCATCACACGAGTCGGCCCGGGCCGACCCATCTGATATCAGAGCCAGAGTCGGCCCCGGCCGACCCGTCTGGTATCAGAGCCAGAGGGGGAAGTGAGGTGATGTCTATCTTTCTTTACTTATTATAATGTTGTTAGTGTAGATCTACAAGTTTATATCTTCCTGATGAGATTTATTAACTTCGTGATTACCATATTTCTTTATTTATACTACTGATAGTGTAAATCTACAAGTTTAGATCTGATTAGATGAGACTGGTTAACTTTGTGATTACTATATAATGTATTCGAGTTTATTATAATTTTGATTGTTTTGATTTCATGACTTTGGATCTGATTGAATGACATGGATCCAGTAAGTGCCAACGTCCGGTCCAGGTAAGACCATGAGGGATTTGGCTCTGTAGGGACGTTGAGATTCTTAGGGTGTGATACTCTGGGACGGGGAAGTGTGACAAGATCAGATCCATGAAAAATGAGTTTTTACTATCAAACTTATGATTTTGTTTGGAAATATAGTTGTCATGCATAGTTAATCTTTCTCAAAAGATTTAGATCTGTTCTTGTAGGTTTATTACTATCTTTATAATGATGGAAATATGGTCGTCATGTCTAGTTAATGTCTTTCAAAAGGTTAGATTTTTTTTTGTAGGTTTCACACTATCCTTTATAATCTATTTAGAAAAATGATTATCCTCCATGGATCCTGAAGGATTCTGTGCCAAATGGAAGAGGAATATAAAGTTTATTCATTTATTTAAGCTTATTTTTACTTATCTTTACTCATGGCATCCTTTTTCAGAACAAACTCTGCATCTTTTAGTTCTTCTTCAAACAACAAACTAAAAGAAGAAATTCATATACAAGATATCAATCAAGATATAGACAATTGGAAAATTCCAAAATATACTCAAA